TTTTATTTTTTATTTTATTTTTTTTTGGGGGGGGGGGTTGCGTTTGGTTCGTCTTTTTTTTATTTTTTATTTTTATTTATTTATTTATTTTTATTTATTTTATTTTTTTTTATTTTTTTTATTTTTTTTTTATTTGGGTTGCGCTTGTTTTGTTTTTTTATTTACTTTTTTGTTTGTTTTTTATCTTTATTTTTTTTGTTTTTTTTGTTTGTTTGGTTCTTGTTTCTGTGTTCGTTTGTTTTATTTATTTATTTGTTTTTTTTTATTTTTTATTTTTTTATTTTTTGTTTTTTATTTACTTGTTTGTTTATAGTGTTGTTTGTTTCATTTATTTATTTATTTATTTTTGGTTATTTGTTTTTCTGGTTGTTTAATTTATTTATTTATTTTTATTTATTTATTTATTTATTTATTTGTTTATTTTTATTTATTTTTTTTATTTATTTATATTCTTTTTGTTTGTTTTTGTTTTTTTTTTCTTGTTTGTTCTTTCTGTCTTTTCTTTTTGTATTTGTTTATTTATTTTTCTATTTCTCTTTTTTTCTTTTTTTCTCTTTTTTTTATTTCTTTCTTTTGTTTTTGCATTTGTGTATTTATTTATTTGTTCATTTATTTATTTTTTTTTTGTTTTTACATCTATTTGTTTGTTTTCTTTTTTTTTGTTTTTCTTTGTTTGTTGTTTTTCTTTTGTCTCTGTAAATAAATTTTATAACTTTTTCTTTTTTTTTGTTTTTTTTTTTGTTTTTTTGTGTCGTTGCTTTTTTTTTTATTATATTATTATTAATTAAACAAATTTATTTATTTATGTATTTATTTATTTGGTTATTTATTTATTTATTTATTTATTTATTTATTTATTTATTTATTTGTTTATTTATTTATTTATTTATTTATTTATTTGTTTATAGAGTTGCAGGTTTTTATAGTTTCTTATCTTTTTTCTTTTTTCTATTATAAACAAATTAAATAAATAAATAAATAAAAGCAAATAAATAAATAAATAAATAAATAAATAAAAATAAATAAATAAATAAATAAGGAAATAAACAAATAAATAAATGAATAAATAAATAAATAAATTTGTGTATTTGTTTGTAGAGTTTCAGGTCTTCATCGTGTTTAAAAAAACCTTTTTGTTTTTCTTTTTTGTTTTTTTTTCTGTTATATATCAAAATAAATAAATAAATAAATAAATAAATAAATAAATAAATAAATAAAACATTAATTTCTTTATTTATTTGTGTATTTATGTACACAAAATAAATAAATAAAAAGAAAGCTAAAACATTAGTTTATTTATTTCTTTATTTATTTGTGTTTTTTTTTAGGGTTTCAGGTCTCTAACAGATTTAAGAAAACGTGTATTATCTGTTTTTTTTGTTTTTTTTTGTTTTTTTTTTGTTTTTTTTCTTTTTTTCTCTGTTACGCATCAAATTAATAAATAAAGAGAAAACTAAAACATTAATTTATTTATTTATTTATTTATTTGTGTTTTTTTTTAGGGTTTCAGGTCTCTAGCAGATGTAAAAAAACGTGTACTATCTGTTTTTTTCTTGTTTTTTCTTGTTTTTTTTTCTTTTTTCTTTTTTTTTCCATTACGTACCAAAATAAATAAATAAATAAATAAATAAAACATTAATTAATTTATTCATTTATTTATTTGTGTTTTTTTTTAGGGTTTCAGGTCTCTAGCAGATTTAAAAGAACGTTTATTATCTGTTTTTTTTTGTTTTTT